ATGTGTGAGAGGCCTAAAGTCCTAAGGCTGAACCCTAGGGGCTGTTCCTTCTGGGGGGGGGGGCGGGGGGTTAGTCACCTCACTCACAAGCTTGCAGCCAATGACAGCAGGGAGTGGTACCTCAGGTGCCCTCCTCTTTGCCAGCCTGACCGCCGCAATCCCCACCGAGCTGTCCTCGTCCTCCTGCTCCCGGGGGGGGCTGGGCACCTGGTCGGTGACAGGGGGCGTGGGGCACGCAAAGAATTGCGCCTGGGGTGTGTCACGTGGCTCGGGGCTCAGGAGCTCATACTCAGCCAAGTCAAAGTCCCCCCCCGGGTGTCCTGCGCCATGGACAAGATGGCGTCAGACACAGCAGGCCCTCGGCGCAACTGAAAACCGGATTTCCAGGGTCATTCGCTTCGCCCGCGCTGCCCCTGACCGCACCCTCAGATCCTCCCTCTGTTTTCCGCAGCTCTATGCCTGTTACTTATAAGCGGTTCTGGCTGGCAGTCAGGTGATCAAAGCCAGCGCCCAGCATCACTGTTCCACCGCATAAATCACAGGGCGTTTTACATCAAAGACTTACTTGACTTTTAGCATCTGCTTTCATAGCACATATTATTCATGGGTAAAAAGTACCTTTACCTCATTTGACATCAATTTTTTTACAATTTTGAATGCTTTAGCTAGCTTATAACAAGGAAACGGAAACTTTTTAAATCTACCCATATTCCAAACTCCATATGCAGTACAGGGTCACAGGTAGGATGTGAAAAGCCAAATACAAACATAATGTTCTACCCAGTGTCAGTTCTACTGGAAATGTTAAGAGCATTTTACAGTTGAATTTCCATTTTAGGGAATTACTGTTTTACTTGGCACAGGGCAAAGAAAATGACACAAAACCTGTTCCAGTGCTCAAATTATGCTGAAATCACACAAATCCGGTCAGAGTGAGTCACCGTCCATCATGCTCCCAGCTACCGAATGAGCGTGCACTGCAGTGTTTCAGCAGACGTCTGAGTGCAGAGCCCAGCGTGACCACCGGGGCACAATTACACAGCTCACAGCTACATAAAAAGCATGAAAGCACCCAGAGAAACACGTGGACTGAAACATCACATTATGGAGTGCAAAGCCTGCAGCTCCATATCACCAGTGGCTGGCTGTATCACTAATCATCAGTGTTATTGTTCACCTACTTAGCAGGTGCTAATGTCCAAAGCAGCTCACATGGCTCACAGCAAACTGGTTTTTATACAGATAGATCTTTTCCTGGCTCTAAGGTCCAACAGTGAGCACCCGAAGACTTTACTAAATTCCATTAAGCCCCAAATGACACAAGGGAGGGAAACAAACACAGGTGACTTAAATGAAATTCCAGCTTTAACCAACATTTAAACATTTAACAATGGCTCAAAACAGAAACAGTTCCTTCTGTCGGCCTTTAGGTGCCAGTCACCCATGCTGAGGGCAGAGTGATTATCGCGCCTGGTCCCTGCTGGCTCAGACGCTGTTTCTTCTCTCATTCATTATTAAATTTAAC